GGTGCTGTCGTTGCTTATATGTAGGTGCAGCCTTTGCACTTGTACTGTGATTGCATGTGCATGCTGACATTGCACGTGCACGCTGCAACCACCTATCTGTAGGTCCTGTGGCTGCACGTGCATGCATGACATAATTGCAAGCGCACTCCGTGACTGCATGTGAATCAACGCTGTAATTGCACCTGTGTGCTAACACTGCACATCTGTGGGTGCTGTGGTTGTGGTGCTGTGATCACACATGCTCGTGCTGTGGGTCTGCATGCGCCATGACTGCACATGCATGGGCTGTGATACCACTCATGCCATGATGCACATGTGAGACCCACATGCATGGGGCCAAATTACTCCCATGTGCTGCAATGTGGATTTGCAGCAGTTGTGTGTGCAAAGCAGAGTTTGTTATGTCTACTGCAGAAGCAATGCGTGCGTGGGGCAGTGCTGCAGCTGCCATGCACCCATCAGCACGCGGTTCAGCACAAACATCCCTGCAGGCCACATCTGTGAGCATGTTCTCATGTGTAGGTGGGAAGTGGTTTTTTTTTTTTTGCTTCTTTTTTTTTTTAGCACAGGGGGAAAGTTTAAGACTTTGAAATTTTGAGATAAGAAACAGCAATTTTTGATTTTGAGACTGGATCAATCGCTGTCTTTGCTCCAATCGTTCCCAAATGCTCCGTGCTGAGCATTCCTTACCTAAAACCCAAATCTTCAGGCTGTCACGAGGTTAAATGTTGAGACTCAAAATCAGCTGTGCTCATCGATCCAAGCTGTGGAATTTTTCAGTACAATGGCATTTAGAGATCAAGCAGCATATTTTTGTGATTGTAATGGAAATAAACTCAAATCCTGCCAGCCAGATTGGAAGGAAATTACGCACAGCCACAGAATTCCTAGAAAACAGCTCTCTCCTTTTCATCACTTCTCCATATTTGCTTGTTTGGCATCATTCTCACAAGGAGTTTGATGGGAAGCAGCAGCCCAGCGCGAGTAAAGCATTGCCCACCGAAGCCTGGGAGCTTTGCTGGTAAAGAAGTTTTTTACCTCTTGGTCTGCATTTTTGCCCTGATCCACTTTTGTTTCTCTTTTGCTTTATCTATCAGTAATACTCATCCAAATGCCTGCATCCATCTATGCACCACTATCAAGCTGAAAAGCTTTTCGGTAGTGGCAGGATTCAAAAGATGATGAGGAAGGCATACAGGGAAAGAAACAGGAATTCAGTTAAAAAAAAGAAAAAAGAAATCAGAGCACCCAAAAATCTGCCTCTTCTTAATTTATGGTGTAAATATATTAACTGCCTTCCCAACACTGTTCAACCCACTCCAATCCAAACCAACTCAATCCAGTCCAACCCAATCCGATCCAATCCAGCTGAACCACACAGGCATTAATTCAGATCTTTCTGTCCCCTAAAAAAGGCAAATAAAAATAGCAGAAGACAGTCACAATGATGTAGACAGAGAAAATTCCCAACCACGGGAAAAACTGAGCTGAAAGAGGAAAAACAACGGGCAGAAAGCAAAGCAACGACGTAGGTGCAGATGCGTGTGGCGAAGAGATGGAAACACCAGAAAAAGGAAAGAATGCATTTATCACAAGGTGCAAATGTGTCTGAGCAGAGTTTGGCTGCGTGTGTGCTGGTGGGGAACAGTGCTGGGGACTGATAGCCGGGTGTTCCTGTGCTTTGTAGCCATAAGTGCCTCTGTAGGGAACAAAGCAGGGGAGTAAAAATTGAATTATCCACTTAAGGTTGTGTCAGCTTTCCATCATAAATCTTATTTCAGATGTTTATTACTCATCTGTAAAAATTCCTCCCAGCCTTAGCCTTTGCATATACAATATGGTTTCAAAGCTGGAAGCAGCTTTAGATATGTGTAATTTAATAAGGTATGGAGTTATCGTTTGGGGCTGAAAGTTAATATTCTGCCTCACAGTTACAGCAGAGGACTGAAGATAGGAACTGGTGGGAACAGCAGCTGGATGGGAGCTGTGGTCACCCCTTGTTGGGATGCAGCAGTTCCCAGTGGGTCCCAGTTTGGGCCAGTGATGGACTGGGAAGGAGTGCTGACTTCTGGTTCAATCTGTGGACAGCCCAGGCTTGCTGGTCCTCACACCTTCTCGTATTTTAAGGCCAAAAAAAAAAATTAAGATCAAAGCCCTGAGCTGGAACTACTGCGAGAAAACCCTGCCTTATGAAGTGCATCCTTAGATGCTGCCTGCCTGGGTTAATTTTAAAAGTCTTAGTCTTCCTTTCCCCCCCTCTCCCCCTTTATATTTACCTTTTATCCCTTTTCCATTTTCAATTTTATTCCTTTCACTCTTCTTGTGCTTCTTTCCCACATCCTCCTTCCAATTCCCTTTCCCCCCCCCCCCCATTTTCCCTTTCCCTCCCTTTTTCTTCTTCCCATTTTCATTTTTCCTTTTTTTTCCTTTTCCTTTTCCTTCCCCCACCATTTTCTCTCCTTTTCCTCTTCTCTTTATCCCTACCCTTACTCATATTTTCTTACTCCTATTCCCATCTCATCCTTTCCAGATCCCACAGTACCTGTACACCCTCAGCCCCGATCTTCACCACTCCCTCAGTGCTCAGAGCACCCGAGGGGGTCAGCATCGAACCATGCCCAGGGACCAGAGTGAATTGGGGCCATGGGGCACTGTCCCTGACCCCCACTCTGACCCCATTGACACTGGCAGGCGCCGCCAAGCCCAGCCCCAATGCTGCCCTACACCTCCCCCAGGGACTGCCCCGCTGCCCCCCTCTCACAGCCATGGAGCAATGCAAGAAAGGCCATTTTCACCCTCCAGCCCCAATCCACTTCACTCTTTATGGGGTCAAAAGGTAAATGCGGGGACAGAAAACTGTCACAGAAGGAATAAAAATTGCATCAAACCAGTTTGTACTCATTGGACTGGGGTGTTTCTCACTGCATCCCACCCTGAGGAAACTGGGGGGGGGGGCATAGGGGATCTCCCAGTCTCACTACTCAGAGCAGACCCTCAGCTCAGATAGGTCTAAGAAGATAAAAAATGTGGCAGTTGGGGACATGGCTGAGTGGACATGGTGGGATTGGGTTTGGTGGGCATGGTGGGGATGGGTTGGCAATTGGACTGGATGAACTTGGAGGTCTTTTCCAACCTTGATGATTCTATGATTCAATAATTCTACAGTTCTGCCATTGTAGAGCTTCATGATCCTATAGTTCCACCACCCAAACCCCCAATTCCCATCCAGCCCCTCACATAGTTCCCTAGTACAGCCATCTGCCAGTGCACGACCACAGGAAAAACCTGAGATGCCCCTGCAAAATTAAGGGCACATTAAAAAAAAAAAATTCCCATAAGGATATCACCAATAGAGATATCCCATATCTGCCACTCGTTTCTGCTACCTCCTTACACAGGGAGAAGGGATTTCATCACTGCAGCCCTCAGGTAAGGGGAGAGGGGGCAGGGAAAATGATCACTTTTGCCCTCTGCCTTCTCCCCATAGCTTTTATTTTATTACTGTGTTCATACTTTCTCTGCTTTAAGGGTTGGGGCTGTGCTTTTGACACATACCCGTGGTGCAGGTGGGGCTCCCCTCCCTGCAGTGAGGAGTGGGATGCTCAGCATCACCCGCAGCAGCGCAGATGAAGGCAGAGGCAGTGAGAGGAGAAGAGGGGAGGGAGGGCAGAAAGCTGATCCTGAAGTTTCCATCATGTGAAATTGAAGCGCATGTGCCTATAATGAAATATTTCCTCCCATTTCATGGCAGCTCAGTAATTCCTGATGGCAGGGAGCCTGGGAAAACAGATCCCCCCTCCCTGCTCCCACCCACAGCGTTTGACCGCACGGGCAGGGACAAACAAGGGCCTCATTCTGCTGGATACCTGGAGCACTCTGAACATCCCTACACTGCCCAGCACCATGGGGAGGCCTTTGCCCCCACAGCCCTCTGCCATCTACTACAAATCCAGGGAAGCCCACATCTCCAGGGTCATTTTTGCACTGCCCCCTTTCCCCCACTGCGTCCCCAGGGCTGTGGCCAGGCTGGCCCCCACCCTCCCCTCAGCAACAGCCACTGCTTTCATTTACTTTTTAAATTATGCAGTTTTTCCAGCTCCTCTAAATTTAATTAAACTTTGACCAAAAATTCTGAGCCAGAGAAGAGAATAGAAAAGGCGTTTTTGTGCCAGAACAAGCATTGCAATAATATTAATAATAACAAAAAACAACAGCAAAGCCCTTAAACGCTTCAGGGATGGGCTGCAGGAGTTCAGGCTGCTGGGGTGAGTCAGGCAGAGCGCTGTGAGGCTGCAGCCCTTTGGAAGCACTCCTGCGACAGTATCAGTGCAGTTGGGGACACCAGGAAGCTGCAGCAGAGCAGGGGTTTCCTTAGGAATTGCATTTTCCTGGCAGACCCCAGTGGAAGCCATGCACCGGTAGTCAGCCTTGATTCCTGAATAGTTGTTGTTGCATCCCTTGTGCGCAGCCCAGCAAGTTTCAACTCTTTGAAAGGCAATGCCTACTTGCCCCGCTGCTGCCATGGCTGGAGCCACTGGATGGACTCATATATACAACCCTCATTCTTGACTGTTAAGCCAGTATTTTAAAGAAAGCAACTACAACAAACCAACCCACAAATGTAACCCAAAACAAGCAAGGCTCAATTACTCTCCCCTGAAAAATATTAGTTTTCTTCAACCTGCTCTCATTCCATTCCCTGTTATTTTGGTGAAGTGCTGGCCAAATGGCATTTGTTGGGCAAATTTTGTTCAGCCTAGTTCCTAACAGGATGAAGTTAGGACCTTGTAAATTCTTCAGCCAGATAGATGCCCTGTGCAACCCCATTCCTTCCCTGACAGCAGCCAGCACCAATTCTTCTCAAGATGGGACAAGAATTCCATGCCTGTATATGGAACTAACCAAGCTTGAAGACAACACTCTTTGCACCTGGCAATTAGCAGATGACTCGATGGACCTAAAATAGCCCAGGTGGAGAGAGCTTTCCTCATACCATTATCTCATTCATTATCATTATTTATTATTTTATTAATGCCCTCCCATGGTGTCAATAGGAAAGCAGGGGTAAATCCCGAATCCAGCAGTCCTGCACATGGCCATGGCTCTGTTCTCCACGTGCTTCACGTACCACAGCAGTGGGAGGCAGGGCCTTGGAAGCACCCCGCTAACATGACTTAGCAATGAGCATTACTCATTTCTTGGTACGAAATGTAATTGGGGGATTTCAGGACCTGATGCAGAAAGAGCAGCACGGGAAGTTGCTGTTATCCAACGTTTTGCATGGTTGCGGAGAATCGCGGGGGCTCACGCTTGTTAATGCTCTGGCACTGATTAGATCTACGTTTGATTAAACGATGTCGGGAAAACAAAGCCTCCTAGATTAGAAGCAGAAGTGAGCAGAGGGAAGAGCAGAACACAAACTACGTGGCCCCATCCAGCGAGCAGCGTCTTGCACTTCTTGTGCTTGCGATGTCGAGTTGTTGTTTAAGGAAAGAACGACCTGCTGATTCTTCTTGAATTCAATGAGGCTGTTCTGTGAGAGTACCAGAGAGCTCCTTTTACTAATAGAGAAAATACAAATGGATAAAAGCCTGGCGCACTCCCACAGTTCTCCTTTTGCTGCAGGATTCCAACTGTCCAGCATCCTGACTGTATCTCCAGTCATAGAGGCCATTCCTGCAAGTAAAAAGCAGCTTATTCAACAGCCACGTGCATGCACATTCATTCCTCTGCTCAGCTGGATACCCACCAAACTATGCACACATCAAACCTGTCAGCACCACTGGCCGTATTACTCAGCACCATGCAACTCTCCTCCATCTCCTGTTCTCTTCCTTTTCGGCAGCACAGAGCTCCCAGTCATCTCCAGCTCTCTTCCTTCTGTCAGCAAAGAACACTGTGTAGCAAGACCGAGGGCTGCAGAGCCATCCACCCTCCATGTTTTGGGTGCTAGAAGAAGCCCTCTGGGATGAAAACATCCATTGCATGCATGCACCTAAATTCCTTAGAGCCTTGGGCTTTGTTGTGGATCTGGGATCCACAGTTGGATATGCTAGGAAAAAATATCTTCTCAGAAGGAGTGGTGGTGCACAGGTGGAGGAGGTACATCCCTGGAGGTGCCCCAGAACCACAGGGATGTGGTGGGTTGATGCTGGACTTGGAGATCTCAGAAGTCTTTTCCAACGTGAATGATTCTTTGATTTTATGATTCTTCCATGGAACAGCAAGAAAACATCTCCCCAGCAGCTCTCCATTGGAAGTGTTGCCCTTCTTCATGCCAGAATGACCACTCATAGCCTCAATTCAACGGGAATTAGTTGAATTATTCGACAGTTAATGCTAATTTTCTTCTTACAAACAAGCTTGATGCATTAGGTGCTCACAGTGCCCATGTTGCCGTATAGTCTACATTTTTCCTTCCTAAAACATAGATATAATTGTATTTGATTCTTATTGCTGCCACTTCTCTTTTTCATAAAACATTAACTAAATAAAATGAACCATTTTTAATATAGCAATGCATTTGAAACTTCAACAGGGCGCAAACAGCAGCTCTCTAAAGCTCACACCAGGAGCACTACCTTTCTGCTTTGGCTCTGGGGGTGGGTAACACCACGTCTGCGGTGTGCAGATCTTGACTCAACCTCTCTCTTCTTCTGCAAGTGCTCTCAAGAGAAAAAGAAACCCTTCTGTCCTTTCTTTTTCTCTCCCATTTTTTATTTACATTTTTCCCATTCTGAAGCTTTTCTGAGCCCAATTGCTTTTCCTACCGTCCCATTCTCAGACTTTCCAAGTTCGAAGAAATTCTTTATTTGGTGGTTTACTGGAAAAGCTGTTCACATCTATAAACAGAGCTTACTCTTCCTGATTTTATCTTTCTCCTTTTTATTGTTTCCGGTTGTTATTCATTTCAGCTGACACTTCCACAGGGACTTTCCAAAGAAGAGAATCTAAAGCGATACAAAAGTGCATCTGAACAACATCCTGGAAGAAAAGTAGGATCTGATGATAAATGCAGTGCATGACTACCTATTACTGGAAGAGCCAAAACATTCAGGAAGAAATTCAGGTTGGACATAATGGGAGGCGAGTCCACCCCAAAAATGGTCCACTACTGCGCTTGGGCAATGTAACATCAGAATAAGATGCAGGGAGAAAAGCATCAACCCCAGCGATGTTTAAAGAGCAGTAATGTTTAAAGACCCTACAAAGAGCTCAAAAGGCCAGAAGTTTACCTGCTTCTCCCCCAAGCCAAATCAGTTGGCTTATTACGAACTATTTGTCCATCTCACACATGCTTTTCCACTCAGCCCCCCTGTAGGGCACTTCCATACTCTCTCATTATCATGATTTTAAAAAGGAGTCTAGATGCACACCTAGAACTCAGTCAGCTCCAACAGTGTTGTGTGGGGGAAAGGAAATGCACTCAATCAGCTTGGAAACTCATAAGCACACCCCAGTTTTGAATCCCTTGGCCAGACTCTGCAGACTCAGTTACAACTTCCCCAGCAGTTTTGCATCCCTGCCCCCAGTTCTTGATTCCTTATTTAAAGAAAATCCATTTGATTTCTGTAATCTGATGAAGGAGTGGAAGGATGAGATGAGGATTACCCATGAGCACCCCAACAGCAGCACACAAACCATCAACAACATTCCCCCCCCCCCTTCATCTCTTGGAAACTGCTCTCATCATCCCCCTCCCTCCCCACTCAGTGCAACAAATAATTACATGGAGAGGAAAGCATCCAGAGGAACAGCATTCCCTTCTACAAAGGTTTGGTATCACTGAACCTACCCAAGAGATGAATAGACATGGCTTGGAAGGCTGGAGAGGTCTCATTGTGGTTAACAATTGCCCATGTTTATAGCAAAGGTCGATGAGCAAACAAAGCTATATAGTTATCCATGCAAGCTCTTGCATACCTGATACATCAGCCCTTATGGAGACATCATCAGGATTATCAATAACCAAATTATATCAAACAGTACAAGTGCAAAACAATGAGCAGCAGCACCAGCAGAATAGCAACATCCCAGGCTGCAGCAAGTGAGAATTTGCTCAAATGCAACAGCCTTCAGCACAGAAAAGAAACAGCTTACCTTCAGAAGACACCCAGATACACAAAAATCATTAGAGGAACACCTTTACTTCCACTGCCAACCCTTAAATGAGGTCTGGAAAGGGGTGGATCCTGGCTCCAGCCCTTCTGGTCACTCAGGTTCATTGCACACACCTGAGTTCCCCTGGGCTGGCCCTGCCTTCCTACCAGGTGTCCATCACTGCTCCAAGCTGTGACTAGCATTTCTGCTAGAACAAGTTACAGAGGAAGGGAGATGGGAAATAGGTCTGGATGGAGGAGACGGGGTTATGCAGGGGTGCTCCCAACCCAGTCTGGATGTCAGCAGTGACAAAACTGGCTCAATTTATTGCTCAATTAATTAGTTCCTTGCCTGAAGGTTGAATGTGCTAGCCCTGCTGCTGAGCAGCCCGTGAGAAGTATAGGATAGGGATAGGAATGGGAGGGTGGTTGGACTAGATGATCTTGCAGGTCGTTTCCAACCTTGTGATTCTGTGATTCTGTGATTCTGTGAAGTGAAATAGGGGTAACTCTGCACTGCAGAATGTAGCCCTCGTCCACCTGGGCAGGGTAGCTTTTCTGCAACTCATTACACAGCTGAGCTCATGCACGGCGTCGGAGCTATTTTCCAAGCCTTCAGGTTAATAAAGCCTTCAAAAGCACCGTGAAGCAGCCGCTCTTCCTTCTTTACATCCCAGGGCTTTCTTTAATAAATCCCATACCGGTAGGGTGGAAAGCAGGGCTGTTTTTCTGCTTTCTGAGCTTTTCAGCTCATTTCAATCAGTATTCTGTGCTGGGACAGGAAAGGGCAGAGAGTCATCAGTGTGGGGAGAGGGATTTCTGCATCTTCACGGCTCCCCCAGTGTCACCCACCCAATGGCAGCAGTCCTGCTGTCTCCATCCCTGCTTGTCCTAGAGCCATGGTACAAAGACTCACTTGCTGGGAAGGGGGAGGCATTAGGATTTATGTAAACATGGCTTCAACACGCTCCTGGGTGACAAATGGGCTTTGCTGCCTGTGGCAGGCATAGGCTGCCAAGTGCCAAACTGGCAATCTGCTCCTCGAGGCACATGCGTGAGGCATCCGTGCGCACGGAGTTGCTGGACTTTTATGGTCATGGATAGGGGAGGCTTTAAGCACTCGGGATTTCTGTGCATTAGGATGTGTTGGCTCAGACAGCCCTGAGATTGTAGGTGCTCTGCAGAGGGCTGGCACGGAACAGTGGCTCTGCCCTTGGCCGTGCCATCCATCATCGGGAGCTGCCTTGTTCTCTCTGCTTTCCAGACTGCATCCTTAGTGGTGACAATGTCAGTGCCACTCTGCTCTTAAATAAAAAGCAGTGGGAAATGGGCTTTTATAGAGTAACAGAAGAAAGTCCAGATTGGAATCTGCAATTCAATGGCACTTCTTTCAGGGTGGTGGACGTGTGCACCTTCCACCAAGACGCCAATGCAACACACTGCATCAAAAAGCAGAATGCAGGCAAGTGGCTGAGAACTACTGGGAAGTAAGACCACGTTTGCTTCCCGCTCTCTGGATTTATGTATTTTAATGCAAGGAAAGGCTTTATTTTTGAATGAAGCTTCAGTGAGCAGAGTGCTGTTTTGCAGAGCAAAGGATTTGGATGGGATTGTGACAACCTTTAAAATACACAGACTACCAGAAAAACTTGCCTTGCGCTTCTTGTTCTTCTATACACCATGGCTCCGTAGGTGTCTTGCCTGCTTTCTTTGAAGGGAAATGGCAAAGCTTGCATCAACATTACGGAGAGCAAAATTAAGCCCATTAGCAGTGAGTGCTCACAGGAAAACCCATGTGCACTTCTCCGCACGTCCCTGGCCAAAATCCTTTCAGCACGCACCTGCTTTCTGTTTGCTTTGGTGAAAAGCTGGAAAAGTTTTAACTTTACTGAAAACAGTTCTGATTTCTCTTTAAAAAAAAAAAAAAAATAATGGGGGTTGGGGAAGAAAAATGCATCACTTGCTGATTTATTTCTCTCCTTTGAGTTTCATGGGGTGTCTACAGAACCCTCCTGTCGAGCCAGTTCCATTTATTGCCAGTATTGTGCTCGACTGAATGAAGGTTCTGCGTGTCCTGTTTGTTATTCTGAGTCATATCACAAACATTTTAGCAAAAGGTCCAAAGTCTTGCAGGGAACACAGGGAAGCCAAAATCGCCAGATGGAGAAAAGCACATCTTAAGGGATGACATTTGGCATGAGAAGCGGAGTAGAGGTTTGGTTTTAAAGTTTGGTTTGATCTGCCCCGTATTATATCACTGCTTGTGCTTTGCAGGAAATTGTTGAGGTTGAACCAAAATAAAGATCAAGTTTTAGAGCATTTTCTCTTTACACGTTCTTTTGGGACCCACATCTTTCAGTACATAACCTATTAATTATAAATATACACACACACTCGCGTTCAATTTTATTATTTGGGCTTCATTTGACCCTTTAGAGGGAACCAGATGAAAGCAATAATCAGTTCATTCAGCTACAAAGCAAAACAAAACAAAAAATAAAATAAAATAAAATAAAAAATCAAAGCTAGATAAACATAGCATGTTCTCAGGGAAAACAACAACAGAAAGGCTGCACTGGCAGGAGACTTAACGGGGCTGCACACCTCCATCAGAGCAGAGCATGGGCTGTGCCTGAAGGGGATGCCTGGGGCTGTCTGGGTTGGTGTCTCCCCAAAATCCTGCACTGTTTCCTGCCCCTAGAATCCAGCACTGATGTTGAAGTGGAGCAGAAGAGCCCAGGATAGAGCCTGCTGGCACATGAATTCCTTATCACCGCTCTGGGGGCAAAGCCATTGTATTCTGAGCACCGCAGGTCTCGCTGATCCAAAATCAGGAGAAACAGGGAAGGGGAGCTTATCCGCTGGAGGGCTCCTTGTTTATTGGGTGTGTCCCAAGAACGAGGTTAGATGTTAGGACAAATATATTTGCTGGAAGAGTGGCGTCACGTTGGCACAGGGAGGTGGTGGAGTCACTGTCCCCGGAGGTGCTTCAGAACCGTGGGGATACGGCACCGAGCCAAGCGGTCAGTGGGAATGCTGGGATGGGTTGAGTCGGAATTGGAGATCCTAGAGATCTTTTCCAGCCTTAATGATTCTAGGATTTCAACTACCTGAGGGCTGGGTAGGTCCAGGGTTTTGCTGAGGATGTGAAAATACCAACGGCTGTGGAGTCAAACCAGCGCGTTTTGAAGATATTTGGGTAAATGTGTACATGGCGCTTCTGTAAAGCTGGGTGCTGTGCTCTCCAAAACCCCACCATCTGCAAGACATTTCATTATGAGTGAACGCTCCTGCATGCTGACATCAGACCCAGCAGGGCTGTGCCTGTTGGGGATGCTGTTTTTATGCACTGCAAAAAGCCCAGAGCAAATCAGGGCTCCTCACTGTACAGTTATCTGGCAGAAGCTTGCAGTGCGAGATCCCAGCTGCGCAAACGTACGCGTGCACTAAATCAATGGGGCTGTGCGTGTCTGGAAGCACAAACACACATTTTTGGGGATTGGGATCCTCCTTCTGATAGGGAGGTGCCTCTGCCCTACCCAAGGCTGAGATTTCTCCAGGCAAGAACTTGAAGTTGAAAGAATGTGATGATTTTGCACTTTACTTTGCTAGGCAAGCCCAGCAGGTGAGAAGTTTTCTTTGGAAACTCAAATCTTGCAAGAATCCCACAGAAAGTGACCATCAGTGCTCACACATCCATCCCTTGGCTTAAAGAGAGGGATCATAACAGCTCCCATAGATAGGACAAGCCCTAACCTTTGAGCTCTGCAGTGAGCTACTATGGAATTGAAGGGAGAAGAAGAAAAATTTCCTTTTTAGGTCCAAAACGCATCAAACCCATTGTTCCTGACCCTTGTTGAGAGTGATGGAAGATGAGATACACAAACAACAGCAAAAAATGTTTTCAATCTGGACTGACAAGTATGAAAGGATATTTGTGGTGAGGGAGAAATTTGCCACCCACCGCTGCAGCTTTGGAATACAGTTTCTGCGGTTGTTCTTTATTCAGAGTTGGTTGCTGAAATAAACCAACACCAAAAGAAATGCCAAACTACAAAGTGGGATTTCCAGATAATGCATTCTTTCTTAGAGGAGGAAAGAAAACCCCATTTTTTTCCCCCTTGCTTCATATTTTCCAGCATTTTTTGCAGGATCCTCTATCATTTGCAGCTATTTACTGAGCAATATTTTGCTTTCCTCACATGCGTCCCTGTAGCAGGATCAGGTTGTTTTGCAGCAGTGCTAGAGGCTGAAAGCAAAACAAAAACAAAAGCAAAGATTGTTGCTAGCGATAAAGAAACCTCAATGACTTGTGTCAAAGCTTCGTTCAGCAACCAAAAATTTGGACTCTGGCTTACGCAAACTGGCCAAAAGCCACCTGAATTTGTGAAATTCAGCTGGAGTTTCTGGAACTCTCAGGAAGAAGCAGGGAGGGAGAGATTTTGCTTTTTTGCTTTTTCTTTTTTTTTTTTTTTTTTTCTGGAATTTTCCACTGTCCCAGCAGCAGAAAGGGCTCTGGTCACAGCGCCGTGGGAATAAGCAGAGGGGCTGCACAGCCACAGCTTTGGGATGTGGTGTGAGCCCATGCATGGTGGTGGTAGTTCTCTTTGCCCTCTCCATTTGGCCCTGAACAGAGGAGTAAATGCAAAGGTTTTTGGTAGAGGCTGGGGGCTCGGGTGCTGCTTGATTTATTTCTCTGGTGCAGGAAGCCTGTTCAGGATGTGAAGTCATTGTGGTGATCCTCTCCAGAGGTGGCATACTCACGTTCACCCAATCCCATCCAAATATTGTATTTCATACTCACAGAATCATAGAATCATAGGATGGTTTAGATTGGAAGGACTTTTAAAAGTCATTCAGTTCCAAACCCCCACCATGGACCAGGTTGCAACCCACCAGGTCAGGCTGCCAATGGCCCCATCCAATATGGCCTTGGGATGGGGCATCCACATCTTCTCTGGGCAGCAGCATCCAACCTAAATCTCCCCTCTTTCATCCTCAGAGCCCTTCAAACAGGCCATGTGCTGC